CGTCCATGGTCGTCAGCGCTCTCCTGGGCCTCAACATCGTCGTGACCGTACGTCCAGCTAATGTGCGCTTCCTTGCTGTAGCATCGCCGTAGCCGCTCAAGGCGTATTTGTGCGAATCGTTTCCGTGGCAAATCGTCGATGCGGCGCCGTCAGCGCCGTTCGCAACCTGGGCGCAGCGCGAGACAAGCCTCCTCACGTTCTACACGGCCGCGTATGCACGTTGTGACTCTTCCATACGCCTACCTGTCATTAGGTACACAGCCGAGGTCTTCCGCCCTCACAAGTCGTACTACCACGACGTACGAGGCAGTACGCATGTCTACCGTGCGACAGTACTGCGACCCCAGCGTTTCGCAAGCTGCCGTCTCGACGTCTTGACCACGTTGACGGGGGGTATTTTTCTCGCCCCAGCTCTCGAAGCGAATATCTGCTCGTTTGTGGCGTCACCCAATAATGCATCGATGGTCGGCGGCTGCTTTGAGAGCCGCGTGTTCACGTCGTTAGCAGGCACCAACTGCATGTGGACACGCGCCGGCAACGAGCTTAGCAACACATCGGACCCAAGTGTGTTTACCTACTACATTGCGTACCGCCAGAACGCGACCATGGCGTTCATGACCGTCAAGCTCGCGTATCGGCTGCTACTGACTCTTTATTTGGCGTGGCACCTCTGGCGTCACTACTATCGCCACTACATCACCCTCGTCGCGCAGTGCACGATGCTGGCCGACGCTCGGCACTGCATGCTGCTGCTTGGTGACCCTACGTCCATTGCGTTGTTAAATCCCGTCGTCTCACTCTGCTTGGCCGTCGATGTTTGGTTTAGCATCGACACAGTTGCGGCCGAACTTCTCGCGGCAGTTCAAGTCGAGGATCTCTGGCGGTTTACGCTTGGATGCGTCTATCTCTCTCGCACGGTGGCTGCATCTCTCTTGAGGTCCAGTGAGACTTATGAAATGGCATGCTAGGTATGGTTTTGCTACGCCTTCTTGGCCGTTGCCTCGTATTTTATTCAACATAAGCGCTACTGCTTTACGCCTCTGGACCCGACGCTCGTCGCAATCGCTGCATCATTGATTGCTGGCCCCCTTACTTACATCCAAGCCCACTCGGGGTTCATCGAGGCGTACCTGTACCTCTTCTCGCTGGGCGCTGCCGATGTCCACAGCACCGAAGGCGCGCTCTCCGTTCTTGCGTACACGCTCGCGATCGGGCTATTGCCAGTGCAATTTGGGTTTGTACATGGGCGCTGGTGCCGGCGGCAACCCGCGCGCCAGTTGTACACGTCGCTCCACTTCAACGACTGCAAGCAGCGCGTATTGCTGTACATGACATCGGCCTGCTTGGGACTACCGAGTGTCTCCCAGCGCGTCGGGGGCTCTGTGTACAGCG